ATCCAGTTTCCCCTTTAGTTCTCTTGGCCTTGACTGACAACTGAGGGTGATAGGGCTGGTGATGGGGTCAGTGATAATTCCAAGAAGTTTGCAGGGCCCTAACTGGTGTGGCTCAGTGGATAGAGCGTCAGCCTGCGGACTGAAGGATCCCAGGTTCGATTCTGGTCAAGGGCACGTACCTGGGTTGTGGGCACATCCCCAGTGGGGGGGTGCAGGAGGCAGCTGATCCATGTTTCTCTCTCATCGATGTTTCTACCTGTCTATCCCTCTCCCTTCCTCTCTGTAAAAAATCAATAAAGTATATATTTTTTAAAAAGAAGTTTTCTGGGCCATCCATATCTCTCTCTCTCTCTCTCTCTCTCTCTCTCTCATATATTTTATTGATTTTTTTACAGAGAGGAAAAGAGAGAGATAGAGAGCTAGAAACGTCGATGAGAGAGAAACATCGACCAGCTGCCTCTTGCACACCCCCTACTGGGGATGTGCCCGCAACCAATGTACATGCTCTTGACCGGAATCGAACCTGGGACCTTTCAGTCCGCAGACCCATGCTCTACCACTGAGCCAAACCAGTTTCGACTCCATCACGTCTTGTATGACTTCTTGGGTGCCTCGATCACTAGAGATTTTGGAAGATGTACCCCAAGTGGGAAACATTTTCTAACAGTTTCTTTGCCATTGCGAGGGCGTCATCCTTGTGGCAGGGGAAAGCTTTAACTCGTGCAGAAAACACATACCCAACAAGAAGAACATATCGATAACTCAGACTAAGTGGCAATTGAATGAAGTTCAGCCCAAACGGTCTACGGAAGATGAAGGAATGAAAAAAAAAATTCTAGGAACTGGAAAGAACCAAGCAGCCATTTGGGGTTTCCCATAGCCCTAACTATAGGTTTCTAGATTATTTTTTGTTTTCCAGTTTGGTCCCTCTGACTCTGCAGAATCCCATGATTCAAACAGTGATTGCTGTTATACATGTCTGGAACCAGGAGCCTAATTCCCCAGATCTACTCCCATTAGCAGTTTTTCAGAGCAAGCCTGGGGTACAAGACTCTGCCCTCTGGTGGAGGACTCACTCCACATCTGTAATAGCTCTCTAGACAATGCTTGCTAGCCATCACAATTTTTTAAAAAATATATATTTTATTGATTTTTTACAGAGAGAAAGGGAGGGAGATAGAGAGCCGGAAACGTCGATGAGAGAGAAACATCGACCAGCTGCCTCCTGCAAATCCCCTACCCGGGGATGTGCCCGCAGCCAACGTACATGCCCTTGACCGGAATCGAACCCGGGACCTTTCAGTCCGCAGACCGATGCCCTACCACTGAGCCAAACCGGTTTCAGCCATCACAATTTTTTGGAAAAGTTATTTAATGTCTCTATAACCCGATCTCCTTATCTATAAAATGGAAATGATGGGATTATCCCTCTCCTAGACTTTGTGAAGATTAAATAAGATAATAGAGCAATAAGTGCTCAATAAATAATGATTCTAATTTCTCATTTAAAAAAAATATTTTTATTGATTTTAGAGAGGAAGGGAGAGGAAGAGAGAAAAACATCAATGATGAGAGAGAATCATTGATCAGCTGCCTCCTGCACATCCCCTACTGGGGATTGAGCCCTCAACCTGGGAATGTTCCCTTGACCGTATTCGAACCCGGGACCCTTCAGTCCACAGGCTGATGCTCTATCCACTGAACAAAACTGGCCAGGACATTTCCTCATTTGTTTAATAAATATTTATTTATGTCTGTTTCAACATGTTAGACATTGAGATAAATACTTGATACATGGTAGCTATCATACTACTATTTAGTCACTTGGTCAATCCATATTATTTTAAAATTACAGTGTATCAGGCACTATGCCTAGTATAAGATCCACAGTAGTAGACTCTGCATTAGCTTTTCTGGTTCTCCCTTATGAATTCTTTGGACTTATTTGATGATACCTTCTCTTAAGTGAATGAGATCACTGTTAGATTGTCTTCCTATGGCAAGCCATGTTCTGGCTGACTACAGGTTGGAACGGGATATAAAAATGGGAAAAGCCTTTGGCTTATAGAGGCAGATGGGAGATAAGCTGCTCACGATGAGGGCTTTTTCCTTCCTTTCGCTCCCCTTTTCTCCCCTTTTCAATAAAATATATATTTTATTGATTTCAGAGAGGGTGGGAGAGGGGGAGAGAGAAACATCACTGATGAGAGAGAACCATTGATCTGCTGCCTCCTGCATGCCCCACACTGAGGATCGAGCCCACAACCCGGGCATGTGCCCTGACCAGGAATCGAACTGCAACCTCCTGGTTCATATCGATAGGTCAATGCTCAGCCACTGAGCCGCGCCACAGAGGGTACTTCTGGAAATAGCCATGTTAGTAGATTCTGACCTGGCAATGGGTCTGGGCTGAGGGGGTTTCTGAGAAGTCAAATGGACCAATCATAAGACCTTTCCCTGCTGCCACAGGCAACCAGTCCAGGAGGGTTGCAATGCTGGGGCTGCAACAAAATTGATTTAAAAAAAAAAAATCCCTGCCTTCTGGGGACTTCTCTGGCAGGAAAGGAAAACAAATCAGCAAGCAAGTTAGCAAATAACATTTCAAACGTAGACCTTTTGGGCCAATGAATCTCTTCTCAGGACTTTTTGTACTTAGGATGCAGATTTTGGGGTCAGTATGCACGTGATTGTGGTTGTAAGACGGAGCTTCTTTTTTAAAAAAATATATATATTTTAATGATTTTTTAAAGAGAGGAAGGGAGGATAGAGAACTAGAAACATCGATGAGAGAGAAACATCGACCAGCTGCCTCCTGCACACCCCCTACCGGGGATGTGTCCGCAACCAATGTATATGCCCCTGACCGGAATCGAACCTGGGACCTTTCAGTCTGCAGGCTGATGTTCTCTCTATTCTCTGAGCCAAACCAGTTTCAGCTGGAGCTTCTTTTATCACACGGAGAAAGCCATTATACAGAAGAAAAGAGAATGAAGCCAATGCACCAAGGAGTGCCTGCTTCCAGCTATTCCAGTCCAAATTGATACTGTTGATACACTAGTGAGAACACATCTGGCTGGAAGGTGACTTGATTGCACACAAACTATAAGCTTTCCGTACCCATTGTTATACCACCTATGTATAACAATGGAACATTCTCTTGAACTTAATTTTTCTCCCTGAACTTTCCATCACCTCACCCTAAAAGTTCAAATAAAAACAAAAAACCCAAACAGTATAATTCAATAAAATATTTATTGCACCGTTAGGTGTGGCAGAGTATAAAGAAGTATCGCTGACACAAAGCAAAACATTAACATAAAAATAATTTTATAATTACAAATGGGACATGGTCTTTGGCTTTCTCTTTTCGTCTTCACCCATTTTCCCCTTTGATCAGCCTGGCATCCAGAAGACTCTCCTTTCTGGATGCCAGGCTGATCAAAGGGGAAAATGGGTGAAGACGGAAAGAGAAAGCCAAAGACCATGTCCCATTTGTAATTATAAAATTATTTTTATGTTAATCCACACCCGAGGATATCTTTTTCCATTGGTTTTTAGCAACCGAGGTACGTGTCCTTGACCAGAATTGAACCCGCAACCATTCAGTCCACAGGCCTACACTAACCACTGAGCAACATGGCTAAGGCTAAAATGATTTTTTTTTTTAAGCCTGCTTACTCAGGCTGGTGTGGCTCAGTTGGTTGTGTCATCCCATGCAGCAGGAGATCCCCAGTTCAATCCCAAATCAGGGCAGTTGATTGATGTTTCTAAGTCTCCCTTCCCCTCTCTGAAATCAATAAAGACTTATTAAGAGAATAAAAAGCCAGTTTAATTAAAATTGGCACATTTTTGGTAAGCACGGCGTATCAGAAGAAACACACAACATGGACCCTGCCTTCTAAGAAATTACCGTCTTCTCGAAAGACACTCCCTCATTACCTTATTTTATTTCCTCTTTAGACAGCTGTCCTATGTTTGAAATGTTATTTGCTAACTTGCTTGCTGACTTGTTTTCCTTTCCCGCCAGAGAAGTCCCCAGAAGGCACGATTTTTTTTTTTAATGTGTTGTTGCACCCCCAGCATCTGCAACAACGCACGGGCGCATTGCAAACAGCCCAGTAAGAATTCGTTGAATAAAATGCAGAATAAGGTGCTAGGGTAAAATCATAAGGGCGTGACCTTGAATTTTTCTGGCTCTACCCTAGGTTTCCACCTTGTCAACACTAGGTGGCAGGAGGAGATTAGAAGAGGGACGGATTTTCCCCCCATTCAGGGCAGCGTTTCTCAATCTTTGCTTACTTTAGCATCACCTGGGGCTCCTTTAGACTCATCCTTAAGACTAAGGCCAAACCCCTGCCATAACTAAATCAAGTCTCCAGAGGGTGGGGCCAGGCAGCAGCAGTTTGGAAAAATGCCTGGAAGATGACAACCTACAGCTGAGAACAGGATGGATGGGGAGCCGAGGCGTGGCCATCAAAGGGATAATGGGGACACGCTTTCAGCGAAGAGGGATAATGGGGACACGCTCTCAGGACCTGGCAGCAATTGGCCCCCACCTCGCACCCCGGCCACGCTCCGCGGTGCCTTTGATCCACAACGGCGGGGTGCAGCCGGCCTGAGACTGAGTGGGAAGCTCCGCGGAGAGACGGACGCCAGTTTCCCGCCAATGAGCGGAGCTGCAGGCCCAGCGTGGCCCGCCCCCTGGCAGCGAGGCCACGCCCCTGGCAACGAGGCCACGCCCTGGCAACGAGGCCACGCCCTGGCATCTAGACCCCGCCCCTGATAAGGAGGCCCCGCCCCTGGCAGCGAGGCCCCGCCCCAGACCACGTGGGTGGAGGGGCCGCCCCCGGGCAGCCGGGCTGCCGGGGCGCGGTCGGCTTGGGAAGCGAGTTCTGGTCTCCGTGGCGCTCGCTGTCGTCCTTGCTGTCGCCCTTTTCCTCGCTTCTGCTTCCCCCCCGCCGGGCCCGGGTCTCCGGCCACGTGCACAGCGGCGGAGCGCGATGAGGCCTGTGGCGCTGCGGTAGGTGGCGGGGGGACCTGACGTGGCTTCATTCGGGGGGCGCCCACGCCTGTCAGCGGCGCCGCTAGCGGGCTCGGGCGGAAGCTGGCGGCGGGTGGCACCCATGCCTGGGCATTTGGGCACAAAGGGAGGCAGGAAGGCAAAGGGCGCCCTCCGGCCGGGACCACGCCGGGCCCGGGTGCGCCCCCGCCTAGGGTGGGGCACCGCGCGCCCCCCCTTAGCGTCCTGTGGCTGGGAGGGCGATATTAATAGCGAAGCGGCACTTGAAGGGAGGAAGTTGGGTGTTCCCCGAAATTCCTTTGCGTTTGCTCATCCTGGGTGTGGTTTGGGGGATAGCCCCTAATCAGAAAGCTGGTATTCGGAGTCACCTTTGCAGCCCTTTGCCCTCCTTGGGAGAACATTTTTAGGGTGAAGTGCTTGGCCTACTTGGACTCAGCCTTAAGTGTGTTGTAATGTAGGGTGCTTACTGGGCTCGCAGGACTGGATTACGAGGACCCCTGGTGCTGATCGCGACTTTTCCTTTAATGAGCAGCAAGGCGAGGGGAGGGAGGGAGCTTTGATGGGGTCGCTTGGACCAAGAGGATGCTATCTTATAAATGTCATCATCCCAGCTTACCCAGTTGAGGCCTGAGGCGTTAGATTTCAGGGTGTCTGGCTCTCTCCCAAACCCCTTCGCTGGAGCCCTCCAGCTATTCGAGTTCTTTCTGCTTGACTGGGTCCCGCGGGGCCCCTTCACCCTTCTAGCTTCTGGAATCATCCAGCTACAGTGGCCCCGCCCGGCCCCTGTAGTGTGGCTTCTGACAGTGATTGCCCCTCAATTCTTTGGGGGGTCCTGGTTCTCTCTCCAGGGGTCTCTGTGGACCTTGCTATCACTTGAGAAAAGTTCTCTCTGTGTGTGTCTTGTTTATACCACTTAAAAATCACTTTAAAAATACTATTTGAAGACAGGTATAAAGTCAGGTTCAAAGAATGACCTAGGGTTTGGGGGGATGACATATGTAATACTTTTAACAATAAAGATTAAAAAAAAAAAAAAAGGACCACAGTTGGACATCATGCGAAAGGCTTCTACAAACTCCACAGTCTTGCTCATGTGCCTTCTTCCAGGAAGCCTTTCTTGATCTCTCCCCCAATTTGGAAGTCCGCTTTCTTTGCAATGGACACGCATACATGTGCATTCCGTTCTCGTGAGTCCTATTGAATCTTAAGAAGGTACTCCTTACTGCTTAAGAGAAAGCGTTCATCAATGCAGGCGGACTGTCCGAGATGATTAGGTTATTTGACTGATATTAGGATATTTTGGCCCAGCCGCCGAGCCACGCCAGCTGGGCACGGTGGGCAAGCTCTGTAGCTTCTTTTCCTCCCACTCACAAACACCTGAATTTATTTCTAAATTGAAGCACTCCTTTAGAGCAGTTTCCCAAACTTCTCTCATGACGAGAATCACCTGGTGGAGTGGTTAAGCTGCAGATTCCTGAATCCCAACTAAGAAGTGCTAAACCAGAATTTTGGGGAACATATAGGTAAAATTGTATACTTAGCTAGTGCTTTGTCTTCGTTTGGGAAACACTGCTTCAGAGTGGCAGGCAAGAATGGCGCTGCCTGTTATTGCGCTGAAAATGCTTCGCAGACACCCACCCTAAGCTTGGGATCCAGAACACAGCCTTTAGCCGTGGACAGCTTGGGCTCCTTTCCTTGGAAAGATTTAATTAGGGAGCGCTAGGGCCTGGGTTTCCCCAAAGCCTTTTGACAGTAAGGTGACCAGACGTCCCGCTTTTGGCGGGACAGTCCCGCTTTTTAACAATTTGTCCCGCGTCCCGCGGCTGTAACCTTCTGAAATAGTTTTTAAAAAGTTTTGCAAAAATCAGGACTTTTTTTTTTTTTTTTAAACGCCCAGGGACACGGGACAAATTGTTAAAAATCGGGACTGTCTCGCCCAAAGCGGGACGTCTGGTCACCTTATTCTACAGGCCTAGGGCAGTGGTTGGCAAACTCACTCGTCACCAGAGCCAAATAGCACCAGTACAACGATTGAAATGTCTTTGGAGAGCCACATTTTTAAACTTAAACTTCTTCTAACTCAACTTCTTCAAAATAGACTCGCCCAGGCCGTGGTATTTTGTGGAAGAGCCACATGTGGCTCCCGAGGGGCCAAAGAGCCGCATGTGGCTCCCGAGATGCAGTTTTTCACGGAATAAGCCAGTTACTGTGGGGTGCTTGGGTGTTGGGTAATGACTAAATCATTCTCCCTCTCCCTTTTCCTCACTGCTGCATATATAAAGGGAAGTGGCCGGGATTGTGAAAAGAGCAGCTGCATGTGTGCGTGTGCGTGTGCGTGCGTGCGTGCGTGTGTGTGTGTGTGTGTGTGTGTGTGTGTACACGTATGGACATGTGTACGTATGGAAGAGGGATCAGAAGAACTGGCGCTCTCTAGTTGACTGGCTCTGAGAAAAGTCATCTTATTCTTTGAACCTCAGGTTTTTCAGGCTGATCTGAATTAGAAGTTTTAAATATAAGGGCCTATGAGAGTGTCAAAAGGGGGTGGACTGTGAACCTTCTGAGATAGTATATGCTATTTTTTTATATCCGTTTTCATCAGATTATCAGTAGATAGAATACTAAATTGGAAGTTATAGGCTGAATGTTCAAGAGCAATAGAAATTTGTTATACTATTTTTTGATTAGTATAGTCAACAATTTTTTAAAGCATTCAAGTTGCTGGAACCAGTTTGGCTCAGTGGATAGAGCATCGGCCTGCGGACTTAGGGTCCCAGGTTCGATTCCTGTCAGGTGCACATGCATTGGTTGTGGGCACATCCCCAGTGGGAGATGTCAGGAGGCAGCTGATTGATGTTTCTCTCATCGATGTTTCTAGTTCTCTATCCCTCTCCCTTCCTCTCAGTAAAAAAAATCAATAAAATAGATATATTTTAAAAAAAGTATTCAAGTCATGCCTTTGTTCTGTTACAGGGATATATCTCCAAATTTGTTAAGGCAATATATAAAGAACAGGGCTGTAGGACTGCAGTTTTCCAAATAATTTGTCTCAAGTGTTTCTCTATATCCATCAACTCAATTTGGTTCTCAATTCAGACATGGCCCATCATAGTGCCTCGCTTATGCTTTCTAAATTTTTAGTCCTTTTTTACTTTTAGGGGAGACTTTGGAGAAATATGACTTTCTGCAATAGTAATAACTGATGTAGGTGTTGTGTGTGTGTGTGTGTGTGTGTGTGTGTGTGTGTGTGTGTGTTGAGGACTTTGCCAGTGTATCAAACATACTTCTAAGGGTTTAACATAATAACTTCTTGATCCTTATGACAATCCTATGGGATAAGTACTATTATTATCCCAATTTTAGAGATGAGGAAACTGAAGCTCAGAGAGGTCAGATAACTTGCCCAAGGTCACTCTGCTAACAAATAGCACGTTCAGCCTTTTCTGTACTGTACTGCCTCTCACTCAGGCAGCATGGGATGGTTCTCATTACTCTTCAGAAATGCTGTTTCTTGGGGTAACAAAACAAAAATGCTTATGTATATGTGTATTTACCCAGTTTATGAGATGGTTGTATACCTCCCATTAGTTTGTAATGCATATCTACACTAATAAAAGAGTAAGATGCAAATTGACCATACCTTCGTGATGCCCATCAGCCGATCAGGAGTGAGTATGCAAATTAACCAAACAAAGATGGCGGGTTAATTTGCATAGGCAGGTGCCAAGCGGCCAGGGGTGGGGTGGGATGCTCCATTGTCACCATGGCGATGATGCAGGTGTTTTGCACCACTCCAGGCTTCTGGGCAGTGTGGGAAGGCAGAAAAGCGGCTCCAGCTGGAGAAAAGGTGGTGCCTACAGCCAGGAAAAGGAAGGCCCATTCTTGCATGAATCTTCATGCATTGGGCCTCTACTTCAATATATTTAGCTACTCAGGGTCAGGTCTTATTTCTTATATTGGGAGCATGTATTGCATCTATTGCATCTGCTAGTTAATATTTTGAGGGCATGATTTTTTGCTTTCAGCTAATAGTAGCAACAAGAAATACTGTAACCTAAATCAAGGTTCGGCTGCCTATCGCCACGAAAACCATACTCATGAAACAGATGCTGGTGAAAAAGGAAACAGGTTTATTCAGGTGTTGGTCACTTTTGTCTGAAGCCCATCTTTATACTTCAGTGCAGGCAGAGGTTTTTATGAGGGAGAGGAAAAGCAGAACAAAGAGATCAAGGGGAGAAGGTTGAAAAGTTCTCTCCATGCAGGCCAACACAGTTCATTCTGTTCAAGTGATGGACTGCTGTGTATCATCCTGGTTTTACATCATCCTGGTTTTACTGTTGAAGGTCAGCAATTCTAGAGCTGGGATGACTGAAGGTCAGAGTCTTTATCTTCTGAAGTTAGTTCCTAGGATTTGTATACAAACACTAGAGGTCCATTGCATGAAGATTTGTGCAATGGACCTTCCTTCCTCTGTCTGCCTGCATCGGTTTTCCTCTGGCACCTGGGGACCCAGGCCTTTGCTCCGGCCGCAGCGGAGAAGCCAAACCTATTCCATCTTCAGTCTTCACTCGGGCCAGAGCCTTTAGGCTTTGCTCCACGCCTGCATATGCAAATTAATCTGCCATCTTTGTTGGGTTAATGTGCATACTCCTGGTTGGCTTGTGGGCGTCATGAGGGTACTGTCAATTTGAATATTTCTCTTTTGTTAGTGTAGATGCTGTTTACCTATAAGCTACATATAAGTTTGAGTCAGCATTTACAGAAACAATGTCAGAACAATGGTGGGGTGAGTTACAGTTGCCCACTGTTACAATATTAGCTTTTCCCAGTGAGCTTAAAGCCAATAAGTTCAACTGCAGAATGCTAGTGTCTGAGAAGGCAGAATGAAGGACTGTCTCCTTCAATAAGGGATTTGAACCTACAGAAAATATGTAAAGTGAAATAGTGAGAACAAAAGAAAATGCAGGTCATGTTCTAAGAAAATGCAAATTAGAAGGTCAAGACTTAGAAGACTTGAAATATTAATATACATATAAAAGTATAGAAGTGGAAGGTTTATTATGGAAAAAAAGCCAAAATATATAAGGTAGAGAGACTTATTACTTATTTGATTAAAGAATAAACACAAGGCCCAGCTGGCATGGCTCAGTGGTTGTATCAACCTATGAACCAGGAGGTCACGGGTTTGATTCCTGGTCAGGGCACATGCCCAGGTTGCAGGCTCAATACCCAGTGTGGGGTGTACAGGAGGCAGCCGATCAATGATTCTTTCTCATTGTTAATGTTTCTCTCTCTCCCTCTCCCTTTCTCTCTGAAATCAATATATATATATATATATATATATATATATATATATATATATATATATATATTTTTTTTTTTTTTTTTTAAAGAATAAACACAAACCCCAAACTCCAAACACCCCAGCAAGTGTTCTGTTCTTAGTGGACCAGCAGGGATTGTATCACAGCTAGTGTGATGTCTGCATGGCTAAGGAGTTACATGTAGGTCTTACCAAATATTTTTTACTGAGAGACTTTTCCTGAATGCTGTATATAATTCTGGAGAGGAATCTGTAGTGAAGTTGGGCACTAAAGAAAATAAAAAATATACTTGATGTTGGGAGGGGAGTCATCACTTGTTCTGGTACTAGGTAGAAGGACTTGTATGCATGCATATAAGCAAAACCAATGGACGAAAAACTTGGGGGGGGCATATATGGGCGTGGGGGGGCAATGGAAAGATATGTACACATATAATACCTTAATAAAAAAAAAGAATTTACTAGTTAACTTGAGCTAGAGTGAGTAATAGTATTTAGGGTTCATGACCTCTTCAATACCTCATCCTCTTTACCTGTGCTCTCAACAGTTCAGTTTGTTAATCCCTGATAGATATATATATATATATATATATATATATATATATATATGTTATTCGTGATATGACAGTGTATGGCTAGGAGTCAACACAGAAAGCAATAGTGAATAAAAACCAACTTAACTTATTTTTGGAGAACAGGGTAGGCACATTTGGATAATTAGCTTTTATTTTATTTCATTGGGGATTTGAAAATTTCTGCCTAAGTGCAATAAATACTGTCTTTGAATCTGGAAAGGGTTAATTCTCTTTTCAAAGTTGATAAATTTATAATTGGGTTTAGCTTATCTGTTGAGGAAATATGGTGTGATAACAAAAAAAGATATGTTTATAATTGTTTATTCATTTACCAAATCAATTCTGGGCTTCTGAAGCTAATCAAATAGAAAGAGCAAGAATAAATCTATTAAACCTGATTAGTATCTTTTATGTGTTTTGTAACTAGATACCTAATTGGTCTCTGCTCTCCATAAATATTTACTCTGGCCAAAACCGGTTTGGCTCAGTGGATAGAGTGTCGGCCTGTGGACTGAAAGATCCCAGGTTCGAATCCGGTCAAGGGCATTTACCTTGGTTGTGGGCACATCCGGTGTGCAGGAGGCAGCTGGTCGATGTTTCTCTCTCATCCATGTTTCTTGCTCTCTATTGCTCTCCTTTTCTCTCTGTAAAAAAGTCAATAAAATATATTTTTTTAAAAAGAAAAAAAATATTTACTCTGAGCCCTGGCCAGTGTGGCTCAGTTGGTTGAGTGCTGTCCTATGAATGGAAAGGTTGCCAGTTCAGTTCCTGGTTAGGACACATGCCTGGGTTGTGGGCTCAATCCCCAGAAGAGGCAGCTGATTCATGTTTTGCTTTCTCTCCCTCTCCCTTCCCCGCTCTGTAAAAAGTCAATAAAAATATTTTTTTAATCCTCACCCAAGGATATTTTTCCATTGAGTTTTTAGGGAGAGTGGAAGAGAGAAGGGAAGAGAAAAACATTGATGTGAGAGAAACACATTGATTGGTTGATGGTAGGGAGGAGTCTGCAACCAAGGTATGTGCCCTTGACCAGAATCGAACCCGGGACCCTTTGGTCTGCAGGCTGATGCTCCATTCACTAAGCCAAACCGGCTAGGGCCAATACAAATATTTTAAAAAAAGAAACAAGAAAAATGTTTACTCTGAGACTGATGGGTGCCAGAGGAGAGAGGTTTGGGGGACTGGGTGATGAGAGTGAAGGGACTGAAAGTACAAATTTGTAGCTACAAAACAGTCACAGGATGTAAAATATAGCAAAGCAAATATACTCAATATTATTGTAATAACTGTATGGTGGGTACTGAAAATACCAGGGAGAATACTTTGTAAAATATATGATTGTGTGACCACTCTGCTGTACACCTGAAACGAATACAAAATCCTATTGGATATAAATTGTAATTGAAAAATAAAATAAAAATGTGTACTCTGGTTGGAGAGATGATTTATGGAGTAGCCTCATATGCAAATGTGCATACACTGGAGAAATGAGTATAGACTCCTAGAAGACAATATACAGTACATCATGCGTTGCTTAATGACGGGGATAGTTCTGAGAGATGCGTTGTTAGGTGATTATGTCGTCGAGTGAACATTAGAGAATGAACTTACACAACACAAACCTAGATGGTATAGCTTCCGATACTCTTAGGCTATATGGTATATCATGTCGCATACGCGGTCTGTTATCAAAATGTTATTTGGTGCATGATTATGCCAAGGATGTGGGATGGTCGAGTGCTCTGGGATGAGGCGCAGGTCTTTGGGACAAGCCATGGGACCTCCTTTAAGTGTGTTTATTCTTGTTTATTTTTTTTGTAGGCTTTCTACCTTGAGCAGGGGTCTGCTTACTCCCGGCAGAGGTCTGACTCAAGGGTTCCAGAATCCTGAAAAACAGAGAGTCTTCCACATTCACGAAGGCAAGTATGGGTGTCTACTTTTTAGAAAACCCTGTTTGATTTGGGAGGCATCTAGATAGATAATTCAGGGCAAATGAGGCATACGACAGGTAGATATTTCATAAACTTCTTATTGATCAAATGACCAGGGTAGCTGTGGGCAGAGATCACATTCAGAACCTTGGGGACTGAGTTCTTTTAGTTAAATGATTTCCACTTCCCATGTGTAGGTACTGAAGAGGAAGACACGGAAAAAAGAAATCTGATACATGAGTAAGAGATGGATACTTTAGTTGTACCAACTAAACACTGCTAGTGCATAGTTTTTAGAGGGAGCCCGTTTAATCCATGTTTAATTGAAACTAATTTCAATTATTAATCTGATATGCAAATGATAGATGTCTTTATCAACTTAGGAGTACTCATTATAATTAAAAGTGTGGATTCTTTAAAAGGTCCACATACATATATATGTATAAATATAATTTAAAATTCGACTTTCCTTCTTGGCCTTCCACCCTGGCCTGTCTTCTTACACTGACTAAACCAGTAATAATCGTTTTACGTTAGCGAGCACCAGTAGTCTGTATGCTGTTCCAGGTACTTTCTGTTCATTTGTTTAAGGAACTCAGGAGAAAAAAACCCAGAAATGAGACTAATTTACTAATTTTTTTTTTAGTTTTCTATGATTTATTTGTAATTAGAGTTTGCACCAAATTGATGGGATTTATATAATTGACAAAAAGCCAACCATTTTCCCATGTTAATATGGGAATCTAATCATATTTGGTTTTGCTCAGTTAGTATTGAAGGACAAGGACCACTAATTTCCTGTCACTGGAATATATATTGCTAAATGCTAGAAAGAAAAAACATGAACTCAACACATCATTTGAAATCCTGAAGATGTATGTTTTAGTTTTGAATTGCTACTGCTCATCTAATTTATTTTCCCTTTATCCATATAGCGTCTTCACCTATACACGTGAATAATGGTGTGTGTGTGGTAATTAGTATCAACCTAGTGATTATTTTTTTATACTAATTATTCTACCTTTGGGCAGTGGCCATTAACGAAAATTAAATCGCATTCTTTGCCTTTCCTTGATTTACATTTTTGCTTCATTTTTTTTTTTTACCAGCTTAAGCTTTTCTAACAATTGGCATAGTATAAATATATGAGAAATCAATTAGAATAATCCTCAGATTTGGATATTATTGTTAGTCCTTGAACTAATTTGATCTACTGCCTATAAGATAGATGGGGATTCAGTTCATAGCATCTCCGTCAAAAAGGGGCTCCTACTAACACTGACATTGCCCTATCCAATGAATAATTGGAATTACCCTTTTTTTGTTTGCTTATGTAAACCCTAGTGATTGGCACAAGGGTGTTCTTTTCCTGCGCCTAGGAGGCAATAATTGTTTCACGTTTTCAGGAAGCAGAGACCTAAACCCTTCTCTGAGCTGTCTTTGTGGCATTCAATGAAAACTCATGGATCTTTAAAGCTTCTGAGTGCATGAATCGCTTTTCATAGTTCTTGCGCTTGTTGCCATCGCTCTCATGTTTCTTTGATTCAAGGGATAACCTCTTTATTTTTCTTTCAGTTCGAGATAAGCTGCGGGAGATAGTAGGAGTATCTACCAACTGGAAGTACGCACTCTTGTATATCATTCTTTCATTCCTGAAGTGGTATGTTAGGCTGTAATTAGAATCAGTTGATGATCTGGCTGTAGGGTAGGGGAGGGAGGAGCTGTGTATGGATATAGGTTGAAAGATGCTTTTTTGACTTCAGGGAGAAGATCAGCATTTCAACATATTCATCGTTGTTGACATAAAATAATGTGATTTACATGTACTCCACATTCTTCAAAGTGCACTCAGGTGTAATCCTTCACTGGTTCTCAACAAGAGTTGTGAAAGGCTTGTGGTATATGTTCCTATCCCTTTTTATGTATGATGAAACAGAAACTTCAAGAGATTCAATAATTATCAGGGTTTGGGATTCGAACCCAAGCTTCCTGGTTTTTCTATTTCATGTAGCCTGATTCCTTTATTGTTTCTTGTTAGTTGACAGTTAACCAGGTTCTTACACATTCTTTCTCTTTCAGTATTTTCCTGATGTAAAATAGGATAATGTTCTTCTTGGTGCACAGAATTTTGAGGCTAAAATGAGATAAGAAGTTCAAGTGATCACTAGGCATACAATAATCTATTGTTGGTGCCCTGGCTGGGTAGCTCAGTTGGTTAGAGCAGCATCCTGATATGCCAAGGTTGCGGGTTTGAGCTCCAGTCAGGGCACATATGAGAATCAAGTAGTGAATGCATAAATAAGTGAAATAACAAATCTCTCTCCCTTCCTCCCTCTCTCCCTCCCTCCCTCCCTCCCTCCCTCTCTCCCTCCTTCCCCCCTTTCCTCTCTCAAGTCAATAAAAAATATAACCCATTGTTGGTATAAAAGTCATCCAGTGCTGAAACTGGTTTGGCTCAGTGGATAGAGTGTCAGCCTGCGGACTGAAAGGTCCCGGGTTCGATTTTGGTCAAGGACATGTACCTTGGTTGCGGGCACATCCCCAGTGGGGGGGGGTGCAAGAGGCAGTTGATTGATGATTCTCTCTCATCGATGTTTCTAACTCTCTATCCATCTCGTTTTCTCTCTGTAAAAAATCAATAAAATATATTTTAAAAAATATCCAATAAAAAAAGTCATCCAATGACTTCTTTATAGGAAAATTTCAACTTACTAAGAACTAGGAAAAAGAATACCTATGTCCCCACCATCTGGATTGGATACTATTAACATTTTCCCACATTTGCCAATATACACATATTGGATGAACTGTTTCTAAGTTAATTATAGATATCACAACACTTCAGCATACATCTCCAATAAATAGATATGTTCTCCTATGTAACAAAATCAGTAGTCATAGATCTTCCACAGGCAAGACAGTCTGTAACATAATGAAATTGACAATAATTCTCTAGTAGTATATTACACATTTATATTCATAATTCCTCAACTGTTCCTCAAATGTCTTTTATATCTAGATTCCCTCCCCAAATCACTTTCCCAGAATGCCCGAGTTTGCACATAAGTCTAGCTTTTTTTTTAAAAAAAATATATTTTACTGATATTTTACAGAGAGGAAGGGAGAGAGAGTTAGAAACACGGATGAGAATCATCGATTAGCTGCCTCTTGCACACCCCCTACCGGGGATGTGCCCGCAACCAAGGTACATGCCCTTGACCGGAATCGAACCCGGGACCTTTCAGTACGCAGACCGACGCTCTATCCACTGAGCCAAACCGGTCTCGGCAAATCTAGCTTTTTAAAAAGCATCAAGATCCAGCCCAGCAGTGTGGTTCAGTGGTTGAGCATTTACCTAGCAACCAAGAGGTCGCCAGTTCAATTCCTGGCCAGGCACATGCTTGAGTTTTGGGCTCCATCCTCAGTAGGAGGGTGCAGGAGGCAACTGATCAATGATGTTTCTCTCTTATCATTGTTTTTATTTCTCTACCCCTCTCCCTTTCTCGCTTAAAAAAATTTAATAAAAACATATTTAAAAAACAAAAACCATCAAAATCCAATAAAGGATTGCATATTGCATTTGGTGGTTAGGAATCTTTAGTCCCCACCACCCCCAATCGAGAATAATAGCTATCCCTCTGTCCCTTTTTTATCACCACAAAATTGACTTTAAAGAGGCCAAGCCATTTATCTTGTAGAATGGTCCACGCTCTGGATTTACCTGGTGCCATTTAACTTAATCCTCTATCCTCTATATTTTTTTGCAGGCTAAACTTTTCTGGCAAAAATAAATACTTCATAAGTGAAGCTTAAAAAAATCTTATTATTTTTTAATCCTCACCAGAGGACATTTTTCCATTGATTTTTAGAGAGAATGGGAGAGAGGGAAAGACAGAAATATCGATGTGAGAGAAGCACATCGGTTGGTTGCCTCCTGCATGAGCCTCAATCAGGGCCTGGGCCGGGGAGGAGCCTGTGACCGAGGTGCATGCCCTCGACCTGAATCGAACTCAGGACCCTTTGGTCTGCAGGCCAACGCTCTATCCACTGAGCCAAGCAAGTTAGGGCAAAAAGATATCTTATTTAATGATATTGTAAACATTTTAGTTTACTATTCCCTTGTCTCTCTCTTTTCTTCACCTTAATTGTCTCTTCTTTTTCTTCTCTTTCTGTCTCCTCATATTCTCTTCCGCTTTACCTTTTGCTCTGCCTTCCAGATATACTTAATTTTTCCTCTTCTGTCTTTTTCCTGAAGTTGACGAGAGAGAGAGAGAGAGAGAGAGAGAGAGAGAGAGGAGAGTCACACGGGGGAAGAAGGGAAGAGAGTTGGGGCACAGAGAATATGAGAACTTTCAAGTACAGAAATGAGAATATGGAATTCAGTGGAATTATTTCCTCCTTTGATGGTGCCTGTCTGGCCTGTGTACAACTGGAATTGTGGGACAGCACTGCTCCTGTGTTGCATGAAGCTTTTGTTCTTTCTTCTCAGAGACCACATGAAAGCAATGGAGGAAAGAAAATTACTTCGTAGTTTTTTGGCGAAGTCACAGGAAGCACTGCCGCCTAGGAGAATGAAGGACAGTTACGTTGAAGTTCTCTTGCCTTTGGGCAGTCAGCCTGAATTACGAGAGAAATATTTGACTGTTCAAAACACCGTAAGGTAACATAGCACTGTTTTTATTTGTGTTGTTTATTTGCCTTTATTTCATTTCATTTCTTTATTGCAACTTTGAGATATCCTTCACACACCATGCCATTCACTTATTGAAAGTGTGCAATTCTGTGTTTTTTTGTACATTCAGAGAGTTGTGTAGCCATCGCCACAATTAATTTTTGAACATTTTCATTACCCCAAAGTGTTATTTATTTCTATAAAAATTATTTTCACTTAATTCTGTTTTCTTTATTCCACAGATTTGGCAGGATTCTTGAGGATCTTGACAGCTTAGGAGGTACTGGTATTATTTTAGTATTTTGAAATACGTATTTAGATTAATACATTGAATCCTATGGCTAGAAAGGGATTTTTTTTTTATTAACTTGTACAAAAGAGTCTATTGTAAAAGAGGGGAAAAAAACCAGCTACTACTTCTGAATTGGCATAATTTCCCCCCATAATGTATATTTCTACTTATCAGTTAGAAACTAATTAATCCTCCTTTCTAATAACTTTTTAAAAAGTCTTAAATCTACAGAAAAGTTGCAAACAAGTACAAAGAATTGTTCTTCCCTGAATCATGGAAGAGTATGTTGCTGACATGCATATCACCCCCAAATATTTCTTTTCTTTTTTCCTCCCCATAGCTCCCCTCCACCCGGTTCCCACCACCCTCTGCCCTTATCCCCTGCCCCCCATCTGTCCTCATCCATAGGTGTACAATTTTTGTCCAGTCCCTTCCCCCAACCCCCATTCCCTTCCCCCATCCCTGAGAATTGTCAGTCCACACCCTTTCTATGCTCCTGATTCTATTATATTCACCAGTTTATTCTGTTCATCAGATTTTTAATTCACTTGATTTTCAGATTCACTTGTTGATAGATATGTATTTGTTGTTCATAATTTTTATCTTTACCTTTTTCTTCTTCCTCTTCTTAAAGAATACCTTTCAGAATTTCATATAAAACTGGTTTGGCGGTGATTAACTCCTTTAGCTTTTTCTTATTTGTGAAGCTTTTTATCTGACCTTCAATTCTAAATGATAGCTTTGCTGGGTAGAATAATCTTAGTTTTAGGTTCTTGCTATTCATCACTTTGTTTTTTTTATTTTTTATTTAATAAATCTTTATTGTTCAAATTATTACAATTGTTTCTCCTTTCCCTCCCATAGCTCCCCTCCACCCAGTTCCCACCTACCCTCTGTCCTTACCTCCTCCCCACCCCCATTGTCTACATCCATAGATATATGATTTTTGTCCAGTCTCTTCTCCTACTCCCCACACAGACATCCTTTTCCCCCTGAGAATTCTCAATCCACTCCCATTCTATGCCCCTGATTCTATTATATTCACCAGTTTATTCTGTTCATCAGATTTTTAATTCACTTGACTTTTAGATTCACTTGATAGATATGTATTTGTTGTTCCTAATTTTTATCTTTACTTTTTTCTTCTTTTTCCTCTTTTTAAAGAATACCTTTTAGCATTTCATATAATACTGATTTGGTGGTGATGAACTCCTTTAGCTTTTTCTTATCTGTGAAGCTCTTTATCTGCCCTTCAATTCTGAATGATAACTTTGCTAGGTAGAGTAATCTTGATTGTAGGTTCTTGCTATTCATCACTTACAAGAAGTTTTCAGTCATTATTTCTTCAAATAGGTTTTCAGTGTCTTGCTCTCTCTTTTCTTCTGGCACCCCCATAATTTTGATGTTGGTACGCTTGAAGTTGTCCCAGAGGCTTCTTACACTATCTTCAACTTTCTGGATTCTCTTCTCTTCTTGCTTCTCTGGAGGAATGTGCTTTGCCTCTTTGTATCCCAAATCTTTGACTTGATTCTCGTGTTCCTCTAGTGGGCTGTTGGGTCTCTGTATAATATTTTTTCTTTTAGTTGTAGTTTTGAAATTGTGCGCGCCATCAGTTTAGTTGTTTACCTTTGTCACCATCTTGGTTTCTCCTCCATCACTTTGAATATTTCTTGCCTCTCCCTTCTGGCCTACATAGTTTCTGTTGAGAAATCAGCTGACAGTCATATGGGTACTTCCTTGTTTTTTTCTTGCTGCTTTTAATATTCTCTCTTTGTCTTTTGCCCTTGGCATTTTAATTATGATGTGTTTTGGTGTGGTACTCTTTGGATTCCTTTTGTTTGGGGTTCTGTGTACTTCCTGGACTTATAAGTCTATTTCTTTCGCCCGGTGGGGGAAGTTTTCGGTCATTATTTATTCAAATAGGTTTTCAGTGTCTTGCTCTCTCTCTCCTTCTGGCACCCCCATAATTTGGATGTTGGTATGCTTGAAGTTGTCCCAGAGGCTCCTTACACTCTCTTCAAATTTTTGGATTCTTTTTTCTTTTCCAGGGGGTGTGTGTTTGTTTTTTGCTTCTTTGTATTTCAAATCCTTGACTTGATTCTTGTGATTCTCTAGTCTGCTATTGGATCTCTGTATAATATTTTTTTTATTTTAGTCTGTGCTTAATTTCTTGTTGGTCCTTTTTCATATCCTTGAGGATCTCACTAAATTTATCAGCCTTTTCCAGAAAATTCTTGAAAAATCTTATAACCGTAGTTTTGAACTCTATATCCAGTCATTAGTTTTCCTCCATTTCTGTCATTTGTGACCTGTTTCTTTGTCTCTGCATTTTGGCTGCTTCCCTGTGTTGATAGAGTGGCTTTGTGTGCTTGGTGTCCTATAGGGCCCAGTGGCTCAGCCTCCCCAGTTACCTGAGGTAGACACTCTTGGTGCATGCCTTTGTGGGCTGTGTGCACAGTCTCGTTGTAGTTAAGCCTTGATTGTTGCTGGTATCACCGGGAGGAATTGACTTCCAGGACAATTGGCTGTGAGAATCAGCCGTGTCTATGCTGAGAGAACTTTTGTGCTGAAGACACCCTTATGAGGCAAGACTTGCTTTAGAGGGGCTTTGGTGATCACTGAGTCTGTCCCCTGAGTGTGTCCCTTATGGATCTGAGGAGTTGTAATCTGGATGGTCCCACTCTGACCCCTGGGTACACTGGCTCTTGGATCTCCAAGGAGTTGTTAATTTAGCCTCTGCCTGAGGCTACCCAGCAGGAGCTACAGAGATCTGCAGATTCCTCTTCTTTGTTTGGGTTTTGGAGGTGCCCAGATGAGTCCCAGCTATGAAGCAGTGCAAGCTGCTGTGGGCCTTGGGCCTTCTTTTGGATGTTCTGGGTCTCTGTGACCCAGTTGCAGTTTGTTAGCTAAGTTTAGATTTCAAAGGACTAGGCCATTCATATGCAAAAGCCTCTGCGCACAGCTTGGATGGGGCAGAGTCTCAGAGTGGAGCAAACAGCAATGGCTTCCCATCAGCCCTGGCCTAAAAGGCTCCCTGGTCTCAGTGTCGCTTGGAAATCACTGCAAGCACCTCTGAGACAAAGCCACCCTCGAGTTCTGCCTGCTGTCAGACAGCCCAGTTTCTCCCCATATGAGTCTGGGTCCCCAGAGTCTCTCCCGGAACTGGAGTTCAGAGCAGTGGGAAACTTGTGTTTCCCTCCCACTTGAAAAAGCCATCTGCATACTCAGTTGCCAGCCCTCTCCTCGCTTGTGCACCTCCGTACCTCTGCACTTTACTTCTATAGCTCCTCTGAGTCTCAGTGTGCTGTTCTCTTTCCTTCTAGTTGTAGAATTTCCACTCAGCCAGCCTTTCTATGGTTCTGGATGATGTCAGTTTTGTCTTTTAGTTGTAGTTTTGAAGTTGTTGTGTGAGGCAGCAAGTTCAGGTGTTTACCTATGCCCCCATCTTGGTTTCTCTCACCCCCAAATATTTTCATGTCTGTTTCCTACCAACAAGGCCCTTCTCTTACAGAACCACAGTACAAACATCAACATCGAGAAGTAGCGATATATATATATATATATATATATATATATATATATATATATATATAATTTTTTAAAAAATAAATAAAATATATATATTTTATTGATTTTTTACAGAGAGGGATAGAGAGCTAGAAACATTGATGAGAGAGAAACATCTATCAGCTGCCTCTTGCACTGGGGATGTGCCCGCAACCAAGGTACATGCTCCTGTCCAGAATCGAACCTGGGACCCTTCAGTCCACAGGCCGATGCTCTATCCACTGAGCCAAACCAGTCAGGCGGGCATCTTCATTTAGATGGGCCCAAGGCTTCTCGAATTCGACATGTGGAAAACAGCCCTTTTCCTCCTTCTGTATTATATTTTTCAGTGAATGGTATACCATCTTCATGCCAGCTGGAAACCTGGCTTTAGTCAAGTCTCCCTTCTTTTTAGCTCTTGGATCTTTTTTGTTCTCTTCATTTCCATTGCTCTTAGATGAATATGGTTTTTTTTGGGGGGGGGGCGGGATACCACAAAGGCTTTTTAAATGGAGTTTCTTTGCCTCTAGCTTCTTATTCCCACAGTACTGTGGTCGGCAAACTGCGGCTCGTGAGCCACATGCGACTCTTTGGCCCTTGAGTGTGGCTCTTCCACAAAATACCACGGCCTGGGCGAGTCTATTTTGAAGAAGTGACGTTAGAAGAAGTTGAAGTTTAAAAAATTTGGCTTTCAAAAGACATTTCAATCGTTGTACTGTTGATATTTGGCTCTGTTGACTAATGAGTTTGCTGACTACTGCCCCAGTACATCGTTTAGCAGGTGCATGGATGGAAAATTCACTGTCACATAGCAAATACTTATTGAGCACACACCCAGTGCTGTTGGTGGTAAACATTTGAAGGAATCATGGAGGAAGCAGGGAGGCCACGGAACACAGAAGTAGAATGATATTTGTAAGGTGCATAGAACCATACTTGGCACATACAAATGGTTGCTAAGTGATGGAAAGTATACAGATAACCACAGGGTGTTATGGGGAAGGCGGATAACTCTGAGCAAATTAATTGCTTCCTGATTAAGGAAGAGTCAGGAGGAAAACTGGGATCTGAGTCCCTGTGATTGCTTTTCTTTTCTGAAGATGTTTGACGCCATCAGACTTGTGTGCCGGGCTATTTTCTGACTTAGGTACTGTGTCTCTCTGGAGTGGTGACAGGCCACCTGATGGACCTATGCTTTGGGCTTCAATTTCCTCACCAAATCTAAAACTGATTGGACAGATAGACTAGAGGGTCCCTAGATTTCTTCAATGTATAAAAGTCTTGGGTCAAAGGATAAGACCACCAGTGGGACAGGGGGATTGGATCTTCAAAACAAGATAAGACTTTTTCTAGATCTCAGGAGTGAATTGTAAATGCTGAGAAATAATTCTCCTTCGCTTTTATTTGGTTCTCTTCTGTCTTCCTACAGTTCTTATTTGCTACATGCACACCAAAGTTCATGAAGCTAAGATGTCTCCTTTATCCATAGTTACAGCCCTGGTGGACAAAATTGGTAAGTGATATTATTTTTTATGCATACTTTAAATTCTTAAAAATTACAAGACATTATTTTTTTGTTATATTTTATTGATTTTTTACAGAGAGGAAGGGAGAGGGATGGAGAGCTAGGAACATCGATCAGCTGCCTCCTGCACACCCCCCACCGGGGATGTGCCAGCAACAATGTACATGCCCTTGACCGGAATCGAATCGACCGGAATATTTTTTATATTCTTTACATTGTCTACATAAAAAAAAAAAAAAGACATACAGCCTGGCAGGCATGGTTCAGTGGTTGAGAGTCGACCTATGAACCAGGAGGTCACGGTTTGGCTAAGGGCATAGAGAGTCACCTGAGGACTGGAGGCTCCTGAGTTAGATTCCGGCCAAGGGCACATGCCTAGATTGCAGGCTTGATTCCCAGTAGGGGGTGTGCAGAAGGCAGCTGATCAATGATTCTTTCTTTCTTTTTAAAAAAAAATATATTTTATTGATTTTTTTTTTTTATAGAGAGGAAGAGAGAGGGATAGAGAGTTAGAAACATCCATGAGAGAGAGTCACCGATCAGCTGCCTCCTGCATACCCCCCACTGGGGATGTGCCAGCAACCAATGTACATGCCCTTGACCGGAATTGAACTTGGGATCTTTCAGTCCACAGGTAGACGCTCTATCCACTGAGCCAAACTGGTTTCGGCGATTAATGATTCTTATCATTGATGTTTCTACCTCTGTCTCGTCTCCCTTCCTCTCTGAAATAAATAAAAATATATTTTTTAAAAAGACAAATTTCTGCCTTGACTGGTTTGGCTCAGTGGATGGAGCATCAACCTGCAGACTAAAGGGTCCCAGGTTCGACTCCGGTCAAACACATGTACCTTGGTTGCGGGCACATCCCCAGTGGAGGATGTGCAGGAGGCAGCTGATCGATGTTTCTCTTCCATCTATGTTTCTAACTCTCTATCCCTCTCCCTTCCTCTCTGTAAAAAATCAGTAAAATGTATTTTTTAAAAAAGACAAATTTCTTTTGTGTGTCAAGAAGTCATTAGTTTTGGAAAACAAGAAATGTAGTGGAATTTACCAACATTTCAAACGAAGTGGAATTTACCAAATTTTAAATGAAATTCTTCGTTTGCAGCACAGGAACGTTTGGGTATGATTTGAACTCAGATGGATTTTCTTTTCTTTTTTTTTTTTTGCAGACATGTGTAAGAAGAGCTTAAGCCCAGAACGGGACATCAAGCTCAGTGGCCATGTTAGCTGGGTTGGGAAGACATCTATGGAAGCGAAGATGCAAATGTTCCAGGTGTGTAAGCGCCTACAGATGGCCCCCTTGTTTCAATACAACCCACTAGTCTCAGTTAAAGGAAAGCTTACTTACCTGTGTGTCCACTTACCTGTATGTAGCCCCCCGCTTCTAGACAAACTATTGAAAGTTCGGGTCACACAGATGGTGGATTATTAATATCCTCCTCCTGCACAGAGACCGATACATTATTTGGTGTTTATGTTTAGTGTTTATTACCTTCAAATCATTTCCGCTCCATGGTAAGGTACTTGCTTCTGCTTTTGCGTGGAGAGTTTCACAAATGTCTGAGTTCCGTTAGGCATGAATGGGGTCGGTCGCTGTGTTAGTTTCCTAGGGCTGCTATCACAAAATACTGTAAACCAGATGGCATCCAACCACAGAAATGTATTTTTGCACCATTTTGGAGGATGGAAGTCCAAGATCAAGGTCTCAGCGGGATTCCCCTTCTAAAATCTGTAAGGGAGAATCCTTCCTTGCTCCTTCCCGGCTTCCGGTAGTTTGCTGCCAGTCCTGGGCATTCTTTAGTTTGTAGCTGTAACCCTTCAATTTCTGCCTCATCGTTACATGGCATTTCCTCTTGTGCACCTGTGTCTCCTCTCTTTATAAGGACATCAATCATTTATATCGGATTAGGGTCCACTCTACTCCAGTATGACCTCATCTTAACTGATTATATCGGCAACAACTCTATTTCCAAATAAATGCATGTTTATAGATACTTCAACATACATATTTGGGGACACAATTTTTAAAAAATATATATTTTATTGATTTTTTTTACAGAGAGGAAGGGAGAGGGATAGAAAGCTAGAAACATGAATGAGAGAGAAATGATCGATCAGCTGCCTCCTGCACACCCCCTACTGGGGATGTGCCCGCAACCAAGGTACATGCCCTTGACTGGAATTGAACCCAGGACCCCTCAGTCCGCAGACCAACGCTCTATCCACTGAGCCAAACCGGTTTTGGCTGGGGACACAATTTAACCCAGAACAGATACTTAGACTATCACAGCAGTTAGGAACCTCTAATGAGCAAAACATAGAATAGCTACTATAAAGAAATGAAGAAATATGACAAGGAAAATTACCTCAAAGGGGATAATAGCACAGAAATTAAATAATCCAGCATATGCCCTAACTGGTTTGGCTCAGTGGATAGAGCATCGGCCTGTGGACTCAAGGGTCCCAGGTTTGATTCCAGTCAAGGGCATGTACCTTGGTTGCAGGCACATACCCAGTAGGGAGTGTGCAGGAGGCAGCTGATTGATATTTCTCTCTCATCGATGTTTCTCTCTATCCATTCCCTTCCTCTCTGTAAAAAATCAATAAAATATATATAAAAAAATAATTCAGCATATGTCTAAGATTTCATTATGAAAACATATTTAAGAATGACTTTTTAGCCGGGACCGGTTTGGCTCAGTGGATAGAGCGTCGGCCTGCGGACTGAAAGGTCCCGGCTTCGATTCCGGTCAAGGGCATGTACCTTGGTTGCGGGCACATCCCCAGTAGGGGGTGTGCAAGAGGCAGCTGATAGATGATTCTCTCTCATCGATGTTTCTAACTCTATCCCTTTCTCTTCCTCTCTGTGAAAAATCAATAAAATATATATATTTAAAAAAAAGAATGACTTTTTAGGTTAGCCAGGGTATTCAGTAGACCTGTTATTTAGATACATTTTTTTTCTGCTATGGAATTTCAAAATACTTCACCTTTTGGAAAAAGTTTGAATCTTGCTCTGCAGTAATTAAAATTATTTGTTAAAAAAAGTTATTTGTCAAAGCCCTGGTTGGGTGGCTCAGTTGGTTAGAGCATCATCTGAGACGAAATTTGACAAGGAAAACTACCTCAAAGGGGATAATAGCACAGAAATAAAATAATTCAGCATATGTCTAAGATTTCATTATGAAAACTTATTTAAGAATGACTTTTTAGTTTAGCCAGGGTATTCAGTAGACCTGTTATTTAGATACACCAAAAGGTTGTGGATTTGATTCCTGGTCAGGGCACATATCTAGGTTGCAGGTTCTATTCCCTGTTGGGGCATATATAGGAGGCAGCAGATGGATGTTTCTCTCTGCCTCTCTCTCCCTCTCTTCCTTCCTCTCTTTTTAAAAAAATCAATAGTTATTTGTCAAAAATAGTTTAGTTTTTAAATCCTTATTCAAGGATATGATTTTTAAAATTGATTTGAGAGAGAGAGAAAAACATCGATGTGGGATTGGCTGCCTCCCATACCTGCCCTGACTGGGGATTGAACCTGCAACCTTTCGGTATGTGGGGTAGTGCCCCAACTAACTCATCTACCCGGCTAGTGCTTAAGTAGTTTTGTATTTGATGCTATATGTAAGCGGTTGGATTCTGTAACTCCAGTGCAGCTGTAACCGACAGTAGTACTGTTGTTGTTTTTTTAAGATTGTTTTAAAAAAAAAATATTTTATTGATTTTTTACAGAGAGGAAGAGAGAGGAACAGAGAGTTAGAAACATCGATGAGAGAGAATCATTGATCAGCTGCCTCTTGCACACTCCCCACCGGGGATGTGCCCGCAACCAAGGTACATGCCCTTGACCGGAATTGAACCCGGGACCTTTCAGTCCCCAGGCCGACGCTCTATCCACTGAGCCAAACTGGTCTCGCCAGTAGTACTGTTTTTAAAACAAAACACCATAAAGTTGTTGGGGATGTTGTATGATTTGTCCACATACTTTTTAAATCTTTATGGTTGATTCCAAGCCTGCTCAGTGCCATGTGCTGCAGATTGCTGGAATAGGACCAGCATTCTAGGGCAGTGGTCGGCAAACTCATTAGTCAACAGAGCCAAATATCAACAGTAACATGATTGAAATTTCTTTAGAGAGCCACATTTTTTTAACTTCTTCTAATGCCACTTCTTCAAAATAGACTCTCCCAGGCCGTGGTATTTTGTGGAAGAGCCACACTCAAGGGGCCAAAGAGCTGCATGTAGCTCGCGAGTCATGGTTTGCCGACCACTGTTCTAGGAAATCTTGACAATTTGAATCTTGGACAAGTCAATTGAAAAGGAGATACAAGGATTATTGGGAGGCGAGAACCAATGAAAATCAGTGTTAGGCAAGTACGAACTTTTAAAAAAAATTTTCATTTCTTGTTGGCTATTTTGCCTAGTAACTCATTACTGGAGTGGTCCTTTCCATTCCAGAGAGGAGCTTGATGATAGGTGCTTCCGGTTTGGGTGCATGTACGTTCAAATCCCAGCTCTGCTGCTTATTAGCCACAGGACTGTGGGTAAAATCACCTTCTCCGAGCCTCTGTTTTCTCAAGTGCAACATGGAAGCAGCAGCAGTCCCATGTTATATGGTGTGGTACAGATGAAATGGAAAACAGCCCTCCCATATGAAGAACTTGTTACGTTGCCTGTCACACAGTAACTACTAATCACATGTTGACAATAATGCCAATTTATTATTGTTACTATGGAGATGATCCCAAATCTCTGTTCTGGGCTTGACCTTCAGACCCAATTTTCCAAGTACCTATATTATCTCCCCCGACCCGGGCTCTGGCTATCTCCAGTCCAGTGCGTTTCAAATTGAGTGTCAGCTTCGCTTCTGATCCTGATCTTCCTTCAGTGTTTCCCCTTTGTCATCCTCCCGGTTTCCCAGCTGCAAACCTTTGTGATAGCTTAAATGTTTCCCTTTCCTGTGAGCCTTTTGCCAAGTTTTACAAATTCATCGCCCTCCGCAACTCACCAGGGTCCTTTCTCCCTCTTGCCCTTGGCCCCTGTATTCTGCTCAAGCCCTCACTGCCTTCATGTGAGCATCTAAACTGTATTTCAGTTAGTCTGCCTGCCTGTTGCATGTTTTCACCCTCTGTTCATTTGATACATTTTTAATCAGGCCTTCCAAAGCTGATCTTAAGTCACACCACTCTCCTTCTCAAAAACCTTGACCATTATTTGCTCATTAAAGTCTAAACTCCTTTGATGAGTTAGGATCCAAGGGTCTCCAGGACCTAACTGTGACATCATTTAAATACCTTCTTAGAGCTCACTGCTAGACGCTTTGAGCATCCTAAGAGTAGGCAGTTGTTCATTTTTGCTTTCCTCGTACTTGGCGCTAGTAGGTGTTCATGATAATAAACCATAATTGAAACAGTAAGCAAGTGGCTGAGTATCGTTGCTTATGCTTTTCCCTTTTCCTGAAATCCTTGTGCTCTGGCTCTGTACATCCACATTCCACTTGTGCTTCCAGCTCACTCCATGCTCGAATCCTTCCTGGTCTTCCAGCTCATAATACCTGTTCCTTCCCATGATGCCTTCCTCAGAACTCTTCCTCTGACCTGCTGATCTCTGTTCCTCAGAGCTGCATAGGAACATGATTTCTCTTTTACTAGGACATATGCTTCTCAACAACAGGATATGTATGGGTGTGAGTCACCAAGCCCACTTCCTGACGTGCACTCATTTAACAGTTCACTTAGCAATCATGTATTGCCTGCCGTTCTGTGTTAGGTATACAGCCGGAAGCAAAACCCAATTCCATTTTCTTGGAGTTCACATTTTGGTAGTCCTCAATAATTACCCGCCTCGATTCATACACTGGTAGTCATTGATCAGGTACCTGTTGTGGGCCAGTCTTTGTGCTAAATGCTTAGGGTACAAATGTCAATGAAAATGGCCTTTGTCCTCAAGGAGCTCATGATGCAGCCACTTAAATGAATGATCGTGGAATAGTAGATTAAGTATTTATGCAGCATTTCTCAACAGGGACACGATTGGCATTATATGTGGGGAAATTCTCTGTTCCGCAGGACTTCCCCCTGCATTGTGATGTGTTCAGCTCCTTGCTTACCCCCATCTTGCTAAGAAGGTTTCCCAAGTCACGTGACAACCCTACACATTTCCAAATATCCCTATAGGGGTGAGTACCACTGTCAGGAGAGGACTTCCCATGTAGCCAGCAAACAAAGGAGGGAATGATGAGTTATCTGGGGAGAAGCGATGAGTGTTTGCTGACTGGGCCCAGGAAGAGTGGTTGTGATGAATGTAGTCATGAGGAAGGCATCAGGCGAAGGCATGGAACAGAGGTGTTCAACAGCATGGCCCATTCCAGGGCCTCCAGGTGGTTAGCCGTGGCTGGATGGGAAAGGTGCAGGTATGAAGAAGTTGTTTGGGAACAGCTGGAGAAGAATTGGGCTCTGGGGTGAAGGGCTGTATATACAGGGCCCACAGGCTTTGAGCAGATGCTAGAAGAAAGTCAAGGTGGGAAGTGCTAGGGCCCAAACAGGTGTTAGTGGTGATGAAGGAACTGAATGGACCCTCAGGTTATGATAGGACTATGATATGACTAGAGGCCCAGTGCATGAACTCGTGCACTAGTGGGGTCCCTCTGGGTGGCCTTCAGGGATCTGGCCGAAACCCACAGTCCAATGCTGTTTGCAGCTCCTACCTGCTGCTCCTGCTCATCCTGCCAGCCATGAGCCCTACATCTGGCGCCTCCCAAGGGAAGTGGCCTATGGGATCGGGTTGAAACCGGCTCTCCGACATCCCCCGAGGGGTCCCAAATTGCAAAAGGGTGCAGGCCAGGCTGAGGGACCCCACCAGTGCATGATCGGGCCAGGGAGGGACCTCGGGAGGGCTTCAGGGCATGTCCTGCCCATTTCGCCCAGTCCCCATCGGCTGAACCCCAGCAGCAAGCTAACATACCAGAGCAACTGGTGGTCAGTGCACATCATAGCAACTGCTCGACCAGTTGACTGACTGTCCCCTGGTGGTCAGTGCATGTCAAAGCAAGTGATTAAGCAGCCTTAGCATATCATTAGCATATTGTGCTTTGATTGGTTGTTTGATTGTTCTGCAGTTCAGTCTATTTGCATATTACCCTTTTATTATATAGGATTGTCCTGGAAGTACAGACTTCCAAGGGATAAAGAAACACCTTAAAACTTACTTCAAAGGCTTTTGTGCATTGTGAGTAATTAGCTTAATCCACAGATTTGTCGCTGACCTTATTCCTTCTTGGGTGCCCCTTTGCTCAGCTAAGGGATCCTAAACGTGCTGGTGGTTGGCACACCAAGGATCCTGAAAATGCTCATGTCTAGGAGAGTGGCAGGAGGTCCACCTGGCTCTGTGTGCCATTTTGAGGACAGGGAGGCCTGGAGAAAGTCAGACTTCTGTCTGAAGTGGGACAGGGAAATGATGACATAGAAGGTCCCTCTGTGACCCCTGTCGCTGGGGCCCAGTCAGGCACAGCTCCGCAGCCTTAGCTCACGTCCATCCCAGCATTTCCCACAATGCACTGTTTGGAGTTTGGGGTGTCTTTCTCCTGCTAGACCACAGGTTCCTGGTCACGCTGCTGTCCCCATACAGTGCCTAGTTCTGCGTTTGGCAACTCAGCAGCTGGTGGTTCATGAATGCACTTCTCTTTTTGTTTCTTTAAAAAAAAAATGTTGCTGAAACCGGTTTGGCTCAGTGGTAGAGCATCGGTCTGCGGACTGAAAGGTACCAGATTCGATTCCTGTCAGGGGCATGTATGTTGGTTGCGGGCACATCCCCAGTAGGGGGTGTGCAAAAGACAGCTGGTCGATGTTTCTCTCTCATCGACATTTCTAGCTTTCTATCTCTCTCCTTTCCTCTTTTAAAAAAGAAATCAATAAAATATATATAAAAAAAATGATGAGGGTATTACCTGTGTCCCCTTTTTTCTCCCCCTTGGCTTCCCTCCTCCAGACTCTGCCCCACCCCAGGCCTTCCCCGCACTGTTGTCTGTGTCCATGGGCTATGCATATATATATATATATAAGTTCTTTGGTTAATCTCTTCTCCCCCTCTCCACCCCGTATCCCCTCTGATGTCTGTCAGCCTCTTGCATTCTTCCATGTCTCTGGATCTGTTTTGTTCGTCAGTGTATTTTGTTCATTAGGCTCCACGTATAGGTGAGATCCTGTGATACTTGTCTTTCTCTGACTGGCTTATTTCGCTCGGTATAATAATCTCCAGGTCCATCCATGCTGTCTGGAAGGTTAAGAGAACCTTCTTTTTTCATAGCTGCACAGTATGCCATTGTATAAATGCACCAGTCTCTCCTCTTTTTCTAATTGCTGCCTTTCTCAAAGCATGCACACTATCTGTTAGAATTGTAGTAGTCTTCCCAGGAAATGCATTTTTTACATCTGCATTTTCTTTCCTTTGTTCTTTAGTTACAAGACAGTGAATATTGTCCTGTTTTGGAAGCAACATTTGTAATGGTGGCCCGTGATTCTGAAAATAAGGGGTAATTGTTCTTTTTTTTTTTTTTTCTAATTCTTTATTTTGAAACATTTTAAAGATACACAGAGAGAAGAGCATAATGAATGTCTATATACCCTTCACCTACACTTGAGTTTTAATATTTTTGCCATATTTGCTTCATCTGTTTTTTTTTAATATATTTTATTGATTTTTTTTACAGAGAGGAAGAGAGAGGGATAGAGAGCTAGAAACATCGATGAGAGAGAATCATCTATCAGCCGCCTCTTGCACGCCCCCTACTGGGGATGTGCCTGCAGCCAAGGTACATGCCCTTGACCGGAATCAAACCCGGGACCCTTCAGTCCACAGGCTGACGCTCTATCCATTGAGCCAAACCGGTTTTGGCGCTTCATCTGTTTTTTTTTTAAGTATATTATTTTCTTTATAATATTTTAAAAACAAATCCCAGATATAATGACATTTCACCTCTAAAAACTTTAGTTTAGGCATCTCTTTAAAAAAATGAGGATATTTTTGCCTGGCTGATGTGGCTCAGTGATTGAGCATCAAGCCATGAAGCAGGAGCTCAGGGTTCAATTCCTGTTCAGGGCACATGCCTGAGTTGTGAACTCGATCCCCAGTAGGGGGTATGCAAGAGGCAGATGATCAATGATTCTCATCATTGATGTTTCTCTCTCTCTCTCTCTCTCTCTCTCTCTCTCTCTCTCTCTCTCTCTCTCTCTCTCTCCCCCTCCCCCTCCCCCTCCCCCTCCTTTCCTTCCTCCCTTCCTCTCAAATAAAGAATATAGGTATTAAAATATTTTTTTAGCCGGGACCGGTTTGGCTCAATGGATAGAACGTCTGCTTGGGGACTGAAGGGTTCCGGGTTCAATTCCGGTCAAGGGCATGTACCTTGGTTGTGGGCATGTCCCCAGTAGGGGGTGTGCAAGAGGCAACTGATCGATGACTCTCTCTCATCGATGTTTCTAGCTCTCTATCTCTCTCCTTTCCTCTCTGTACAAAATTAATAAAATATATTAAAAATATTTTTTTAAATGAGAACATTTTCTTAAGTAACGACACTACCATTAGTACACCTAACAAAAATACTAGTCAATCCTTAGTATATTCCAATAGTTCATATTCAGTTTTCCCCAAATATCTTTTTAATGATTTGTTCAAATTAGGATACAAAATGAAGTCCACATACGGTATTTGATTTTTATGTCTCATAAGCCTGTTTTGTTGGTCAGTAGCTTCAGTGAGATAGAATTCACATATTTCACCCATTGAAAGTGTACAATTTTATGGCTTTTAGTGTATTCACATTTGTGCGGTGGTCTCTACGGGTTGTTTAAATCCAGAATAGTTGTGTGTCTCGACTGTCCTCTTTTCCCCCCATTCAGACCCCAAGTATCAACACTCACTAGGTGAGCTGCTGTTCACACAAAATGTTAACATCATTGCATGCTCCCTTATTGTTTTATCAACTCTTGAAAGGCTCTTCTAGATCAGGGGTGGGGAAACATCCTGCGTGCGGGCCATATGAGGCCAGTGAAATCATTTGGTCTGGCCCTGCCAAGGCATTAGGGGTGAGCTAATGAAATGTTTGTCCGAATAGAGCGGGCTAATTAAAAAATATATATATTTTACTGATTTTTTACAGAGAGAAAGAGAGAGGGATAGAGAGTTAGAAACATCGATGAGAGAGAATCATCAATCAGCTGCCTCTTGCACACCTCCTACTGAGGATGTGCCTGCAACCAAGGTACATGCCCTTGACCAGAATCGGTCCTGGGACCCTTCAGTCCGCAGGCCGATGCTCCATCCACTGAACCAGACCAGTTTCGGCAGTGGGAGCCCCTTTAAGCTGCCTCCTGTGATAAGCCCTTTTGAATTTCCCCGTTGGTTTTTGATGCCTGCCTGCTCTCTGCTGCAAGGAGGTACCTTGGGCTCATCTTACACATTTCCTGCCCCGGCCTAGGAACAGCCATTTCCCAAGCAGTCCTAAAGTTCCTTTTAGTGGGAACTGGTATTTAGAGACCAAAATCTAGGCACTAGAACTGAATTGTTACTAGTCTTTCATCATGTCTAGGCCTTTTTAGTGGACAGAGCTTGGGTATATGTTATAAAGCAAATACATACACAACCTCATGAGTGTATAGTGTCATTTTTGAGTTTAATTGTACAGGCCTTACCTTATTTGGCTTTCCACTTTATCTTTTTTCTCTTAAATTGATTGATTGGTTCTTAACAACAGTTACACCCAAGGCCTTCAAAGTGAGAAAAACCATCTAATTGTGTGTGGGGGGAGTAGGGTGGGTGAGAGTTACAGGATTGCTGTATGTACAGGACTGTCTAGAGGCAGTTGGGGAGTCTAATTTGTATTAGAAACTTGAGTGAGGAGTTTGCAATGAGAAGTCAGTTCTGCTGCGTGGAAAGCTGACATGGAAAATGTGATAAGATTGAAAAATACCGCCGAAACCGATTTGGCTCAGTGGTAGACCATCGGTCTGCAGACTGAAGGGTCCCGGGTTCGATTCCAGTCAAGGGCATGTACATTGGTTGCGGGCACATACCCGGTGGGGGGTGTGCAGGAGGCAGCTGGTTGATGTTTCTCTCTCATCGATGTTTCAAGCTCTCTATCTCTCTCCCTTTCTCTCTGTAAAAAATCAATAAAATATATTTTAAAAAGAAAAATACGTTGGCAAGGACCAAACCGGTTTGGCTCAGTGGATAGAGCGTCGGCCTGCGGACTGAAAGGTCCCAGGTTCAATTCCGATCAAGGGCATGTACCTTGGTTGCGGACACATCCCCAGTAGGGGGATGTGCAAGAGGCAGCTGATCGATGATTCTCCCTCATTGATGTTTCTAACTATCGCTCTCTCTTCCTCTCTGTAAAAAATCAATAAAATATGTATTTTTAAAAATACCTTGGCAACTGGTCTGAGCGAAGAATGCACCCAGATAGCTTCAGTCCTCCCACCATCCCCAGCTGACCTGCTTGCTGCTGCAGTGCCTGGCCTGGGGCTCCTTTGCCAGCACCGGGGGAGGCGGGGGGGGGGGGGCATTATTTAACGTTCCTCCCAGCTGATGGATTTCAGGTTCCCAAACTGCCATTTCAGGTTTTTTCTTGCCATTGTTGTTTCATCCAACTTTTGGGTTCTACCACAGTGAAATACTATGTTCCTTTTTGCTAGTTTTCTATTTTTAAAAAAGTTGACACCTACAGAAAAATAGAATAATGCAATGAACACTTATTTATACCCTTTACTTAAATTCGCCAATTCATATTTTGCCACCAACCTATTTTACATACACATTTCCCCCCGGGAATCCTTTGAAAGTTTGAGACTGTTTCATGCATAAATAGTTTAGCATATATCTCCTAAGAATAAGATAATTCTCTTACATAACCTCACTGCTTTTATTATACACAAGAAATTGAACAGTGATATAATTGTATTATGCCATATATGATCCATATCCAAACTTTGCCAATTGTCCCTAAAATATCCTTTATGGCTTCTTCCCTTAAGGAAGATCTGGTCAAGGATCATGTATTGCAATTGGTTACCATGGTTCTTTAAATTAGTCACCCTGCCATTCTCTGTCTTGACATTTTTGAAGAGTGGAGGCCAGAGGTCTCGTAGGATGTTCTGCAACCGATTTTAACTGCCTCCTCGTGATTAGGATCAGGTGAAACACGTTGGCAGGCAGCCACGTCCTTTTGCTAATGTGAACTTTCTACTGTGCAGATGGGCCTATAACCAGAAGCTTCCTCTATTGTTCCAGAGTCCTCGTGTGAGGCAGTCAGTCAGCGTTATTCAAAATGAACAGCAAAGTCCTGCTGGTGTGGCTCATTGCTTGATTGTTGACCTATGACCTATGAACTAGGAGGTCACAGTTGGATGCCCAGTCAGGTCACATGCCAGGGTTGCAGGCTCAGTCCTCAGTGGGGGGGGGGCATGTAGAAGGCCGGTCAAATATATTTTTAAAAAATGTTATTCTCTAATAAAAATGAAAGATGAACTATTACCCACTAGTTTTCAAGTCTTTGCTGTTTGCTTGTTTTTTAAAGAATATTTTAAAATATATTTTTATTATTTCAGAGAGGAAGGGAGAGGGAGAGAGAGGGAAACATCAGTGATGAGAGGGAATCATTGATTAGCTGCCCCCCATTGGGGATGGAGCCTGCAACCCGGGCATGTGCCCTTGGCTGGAAACGAACCCGGGACCCTTCAGTCACAGGTCAACATTCTGTCCACTGAGTCAGACTGGCTAGGGCAGATAATAACATTTTAATTTATACTCTTTTCTTCCTTTTAGGTCGGCATTTGTAAATCCACTCATCCCTGAAGGCCCTAAGGAAGAAGCACTCTTTAAACAAGGAGAATGTATATCATTTTTTTTTATTATAAGATAAACTTTTAAAAGCACATTAACTGTACTGCAGAAGAGATGATGGTTAAGAGTATGCATGGACTCCTCATATCAGTCAGGTGTCTTACTCATTCCAAGAATTTATTGAAATTGAAAAATACCTTATTTTTTGTTCCATGAAGTTCATACTTTGAACAATTTTATCGATCAGCCAACATTTATTAATTGAAGTAATTTTTTCTCACAGTTAATGATATGGTAAATGTATCTTTAATGTAATAACTTGGTTGGGGCTCGAGGTCAGGATGAGCATAGCTGGTTTTCCACTGAGCTGGCAAAGAATCACAGAAGGCTTTTGTGAGATACGTGGACAATTCCAGGGGGATTGTTGCAGTCTGGAAGTACAGTCCAGCTCAGAAACCCCTGGGTGCAGTGTGACCCTCCTGACACCATGGTTCCTCATTGTCCCATATTTCAGTGAACAAGGGGAGAAGGGTCGCCTTCAGCTCCATGTCGTTACTGAAAATGGCTCCCAGTGCTGAGGAGAGGACGACCATCCATGAGATGTTTCTTAACACACTGGATCAAAAGTAAGTTAGGCTGGCCCGGCCGGTGTGGCTCAATGGTTGAGCATTGACCTATGAACCAGGAGGTCACAGTTCAATTCCTGGTCAGGGCACATGCTGGTTGTGGGCTTGATCACCAGGTGTGTGTGTGGGTGGGGGGTGGGCAGGGGTGTGCAGGAGGCAGCCGATCAATGATTTTCTCTCATCAGTGATGTTTCTATCTCTCTCTCCCTCTCCCTTTCTCTTTAAAATAAAATATATTTTGAAACAAATATTAGTAAGTTAGGCTGGTGAGATTCCATGTTAGGAATGCACTCACCCTTGGTGTTCTCCATAGCCAAGCTTGCCTAAACATATTGGAAATTGTTTGCAAATATTTTGCTTGTTAGCAGCTAAACCATGGCCCTAACAGGGTTTCCTGATTCTCTATTTGCACAGGACTATAAGTTTTCAAAGTCGAATTCTGCCCCCTAATGCAGTATGGATGGAGAAATCAAAACTGAAGAGCTTGGAAATTTGCCACCCTCAGGTATTGTGAGATGATGAAAAATCTTCTGAATGGGATAACTTGCATCCATGATATTCATCTAAGATATGACATCTTTGAACCGACCTCTGTTCTTTGACATTGGTAATTCCTTCATTCTGTATATGCGGCTGGCCATATATATTGTATTTCCTATCATTCATTTCATGCCCTATAGGAGAGGAATATTTTCAATCGGATCTTTGGTGGTTTCCTTATGAGGAAAGCATACGAACTCGGATGGGCTACTGCTTGTAACTTTGGGTAAGTTGGATTTAAGGTAGTATTGACTTCTGAGAAGCAATTTTTACTACCCCACTGAAATGAAATTTTTTTTTTAATACACCAGAGAAAGAAAAGGCACACAAAACCGGTTTGGCTTAGTCTGCAGACTGAAAGGTCCCAGGTTCGATTCCAGTCAAGGGCATGTACCCTGGTTGTGGGTACATCCCCAGTGGGGGGGGTGCGGGAGGCAGCTGATCGATGACTCTCTCTCATCGATGTTTCTAGCTCTCTGTCCCTCTCCCTTCCTCTCTGTGAAAAATCAATAAAATATATTTAAAAAAAAGAAAAAAAGAAAAAAAGAAAAGGCACAGGTGTGTTCCAGAAACAGCCCACTGAAATGAAACATTTTGGTCCAGTCTGGATGTGCTGGGGAATTTGTTGTGTTTTTAAAATAAATGTTACACTTATACCAGCTGGGTTTGATCCTCATTTTAGAAGTCTGTTACTCTGACTAGGTAAATTAGCTAGCACATTTGAGGCATATCTCATTTTATTGCGCTCCGCTTTATTGCACTCCACAGATGTTTGGTTTTTAAAAAATATATTTTATGATTCTTTACAGAGAGGAAGGGAGAGGGATAGACAGTTAGAAACATCAATGAGAGAGAAACATCAATCAGCTGCCTCCTGCACATCCCCCACTGGGGATGTGCCCGCAACCGAGTTACATGCCCTTGACCGGAATTGAACCCGGGACCCCTCAGTTCACAGGCTAACACTCTATCCACCTAGCCAAACCGGTTTTGGCAGATGTTGTGTTTTTTTTACACATGGAAGGCAAGCCCTTCCACCAGGAAAGGGCTTTATATGCCTCGCTTTATTTCAATGCTTACTTTATTGCGGTGGTCTGGAACCAAACCTGCAATATCTCCGAGGTCTGCCTGTAAAGACCTCCGAGAAAGGAAGGTGAAAACATGCTGAAGGGAAAAGATACAGTGACTTGGGCACTGATCTGGTCACAGTGATATGTCTTACCATTCCTCGCTGGTATGATTGCTTTCCCCTTGTCTAGGTTTATTTTTTTTTACCATTTCAATTTCACTTCAGTCATTTATTGGGGGGGAAATAGAGAGCATCTGGATTTTACACTTGATCCCAAATTCTGCCTCTCCCAATAGTGGTTCCCGGCCATTTGTAGTGGCGGTGGATGACATCATGTTCCAGAAACCTGTGGAGGTTGGATCATTGCTGTTTCTGTCTTCCCAGGTAGGTGTGCGACAAGATAAAATACAATCTCTGATCATTCGGGCCTGGAAGAGAAGTTTTGGTATCCTACAGCTATCGCTTCTCTCGTGACTGCCTGTTCCCCCTGCCCAATGCGATGGGCTCACTCGTGTCTGTAATCTCTTAGGTTTGCTTTACTCAAGGCAACTACATTCAAGTCAGAGTCCACAGCGAAGTGGCCTCTTTGCACAATAAAGAACACACAACCACCAACGTCTTTCACTTCACGTTCATGTCGGAGAACGAAGTGCCTTTGGTTTTCCCCAGGACATATGGAGGTAAGCTGCCAGGATTGTCCCTGACAGAGGCAGGAACTTTGCAACAAATTTTCTCCTTTTCCCTGGCCGGTTTGGCTCAGTGGATAGAGCACCGGCCTGCGGATTGAAAGGTCCCAGGTTCGATTCCGGTCAAGGGCATGTACCTTGGTTGCGGGCACATCCCCAGTGGGAGGTGTGAAGGAGGCAGTTGATCGATGTCTCTCTCTCCTCAATGTTTCTAACTCTCTATCCCTCTCCCCTCCTCTCTGTAAGAAATCAATAAGATATTTTTTAAGAAGAAATTTTCTTTCAAATTGTTGTAGGAAGCACACTGATGCCTGTTAGCTCAGAGCACATCTTAAAATAAATAAATAAAAAAAAAATATATATATATATGTGTGTGTGTGTGTGTGTGTGTGTGTGTGTGTGTGTATGTATGTATTTGTGTGTGTGTGTTTTATTAATTTATTAAAAATATATATTAATTTCAGAGAGGAGGGGGGAGGAGGAGAGGGAGAAGGGAGAAACATCAATGATGAGAGAGAATCATTGATTGCCTGCCTCCTGCACGCCCCCTACTGGGGATCGAGCCCTCATGTGCCCTGAAGGGGACTCAAACCACTGAGCTTCTCTTTAGGAGATTGCACATTTTCAGGTTCTGCAGCCCGGAAGGCCAGAATGCCTCCTGGCCCCACGGGTGGCTGTGGCTCTCTGCCCACCTGGCTGTCGCCTGAAGGGCTGGTGCCAGTGCAAGCAGCCACTGGAGGTCAAAGACGGGTCCAGCCAGAGGAAAGGGGTGCGGGTCGAGGCTTGCTCCCCTGGGAACCTCGCGCACTCCTGGCCCAATAGCGCTTGCCGAGTAGTCCTGTGTCTGTACCTCGCTGTCCTGAGACACTGCAAGGTTCTCCATGGTCCTCTCTCTCGTGTTTCAGAGTCCATGCTGTATCTAGATGGGCAGCGGCATTTCAACTCCATGAGCGCATCGCAGACCCTGAAAAAGGACTACCTTCTGAAGCCGCAGGGACAGCCACCCTTGGAGACCAGCGTGCCTCAGTGACGCGGCGCCTGACAAGGCCCATCACGTGTATTGGTTTAGCGTTCATGCTCACCCCCCCGCCCCCAGGGAAAAAGAATGTATTCAGCTTTTTAGGGTGATTAGAAAAATAGAACGAGACAGTGGCTGGCTGGGGCAGAGGGAGAGAGAGTCATTAAAGAATAAACGCTTTCGAAACGATTGACATTGTGAATCCACCATGTTGCTTCCTGTCTGCTGAAGAAATCGGGACACATGCCTTTGTATGCCATTGAAAACCGCTTTTTCTTACACACATCACAGGCTGTCCGCGTGTCCACGGCTTCTCGCCAAGGCATTTGGAGGCAGTTCCCCCGTGTCCTCTCAATCCCAGCAGCCCTCCATGATTCCTTAGTGTTTGCCTCCCCCTGCTTTCCAGCTTTTGTTGTTAGCAAAAGGTAGATGAAAAGGTGGGGCGGGATTGGATGGCAGAGGTGGTATTGTGAAAGATTTGTGGGAAGCTTTAGACCTGAAGCCATAAGCAGAAGTGTTCAGAGATGAGCCAGATGAGGAAACAGGACTGCGTGTTCACTCTTTCACTAGACAGCTCCTGGTACTCTCTGCTGGCACGAGGTGGGATATATAATAAAAAACAAGTCCTGCCCTGAATGGTGTGGCTCAGTGGATAGAGCATCAGCCTGCGGACTGAGGGGTCCCTGGTTCGATTCCAGTCAAGGGCATGTACCTTGGTTGCGGGCACATTCCCGGCGGGGGGGGGGGTGCGGGAGGCAGCTGATCGATGTTTCTCTCTCATCTCATTGATGTTTCTAACGCTGTCCCTCTCTCTTTCTCTCTGTAAAAATCAATAAAATACTAAAAACAAACAAAAAACAAGTCCTAGCTGGTTTGGCTCAGTGGATAGAGCATCGGCATGCGAACTGAAGGGTCCTAGGTTTGATTCCAGTCAAGGGCATGTAGCTTGGTTGCAAGCTCAATCCCTGGCCCTCATTGGGGCTGGGGCGCATGCAGGAGGCAACCAATCAATGTGTGTCTCTTACATAGATGTTTCTCTCTCTGTCCCCCTCCTACTCTCTCTAAAAATCAATGGGAAAATATCCTCGGGTGAGGATTAACAACAACAACAGAAACACACCCAAGCTGAAACCAGTTTGGCTCAATGGATAGAGTTTCGGCTTAGGGACTGAAGGGTCCCGGGTTCAATTCTGGTCAAGGGCATGTACCTTGGACATCCCTAGTAGGGGGTGTGCAAGAGGCAGCTGATCGATGACTCTCTTCTCATCGATGTTTCTAACTTGCTATCTCTCTCTCTTCCTCTCTGTATAAAATCAACAAAATATATTTTTTAAAAAAAGAAAACACATCCAAGAACAATAATAACAGCTGCGTATGCTTATGGATCATACTTGCTATGTGGTAGCTCATTTATTTCTTTTAAAAATATTTTTATTGATTTCAGAGAGGAAGGGAGAAGGAAAGATAGAAACATCAATGATGAGAGAGAATCATAGATTGGCTGCCTCTGGCACGCCCCACACTGGGGAATGAGTGAGCAACTGGGCATATGCCATGACCACCGGGAATCGAACCATGACCTCCTGGTTCATAGATTGACACAACTACAGAGGCACACTGGCTGGACAAGCTCATTTATTTCTTCCATCAGTACTGTGGTAGGTTCTGTAACCCCCTCGGAGAGGTTAATAACTTGCCAGGGTCCCACTGCTAGTAGTGGGTGGTGCTGGGATTTTGTTTTTCTTTTTCTTTAAAAAAAATATTTTATTGAGAGAGGAGATCCAAGATGGCTGCTTGGGTAGACATCTAGCCGCGGCAGCACACAACAATTTCAATGGAATACAACTAAGATGTAGAGTGGACATTGCCAGAGCTACAGGTAGTCGACTGACTGAAAATTCTACAACAAGAAGGAAAGAGAAAACCAGAAGGAAAATCAGAGGGACTGAAAAAAAGCCTAAGGTACGGAGACATGCACGTGCGCACGGAGAGGTCACAGCCGAAGAGGAGGAGAGGGCGGGGTGCTGCCTTTCCTTCCCTAGCAGGAAGGAAATAAAACCCCAGCCTGGGCTGAACCCCCGAACCAGCAGCGCTGAGCACCAGTTATGGGCCAGACCCTGGGGAGCCAGGCTCCGGCAGGAGGAGACAGGGTTGTGAGGCGGAAAAACGGTGAAAAGCAGGGCCCCCGGAGTCGCGCGCAATGCGCGCACAGAGGACTGAATGTTGACTCTGATGCTGGGTTACCCTAGCCGGAATAAACAAGGCCTCCGGTGGTGCTGGGCCTCAGTCCGGACTGCTCCGAACCCCAGTTCTGGGCCAATCCCTGGGGACCCAGACTCAGGCAAAGGGAGACGGGGCTGTGAGGTGGAGTCCGGGGAGAGCGGCGAAAGGCTGGGCCCCCGGACTTGCGCACACTGCGCGCAGAGGACAGTCTGTTGACTCTGATGCTGGACTCCCCTAGCGGGAAGGAGAAAAAAAGCTCCGGGCTGGGGGAACGAGGCAGGGAGCAGGATCCCCTGCCAGATGCCGGCCAACTGGGAACCAGCAAGGAGCTGGGCGACGGGGACCCTGGGGTGGGGATGCCCCTGAGCCCTCCACTGCTGAGCACGGGCAATGGAACCAAGGCCGGGGGCTGCTTCCTGGGTGGCACCGTCCCCGGCAACAGGCTGAAGCAGCGCAGGAGCCTGCGGAGAACAAAGGGTTGCCACAGGCCAACCTGCTGAGCTCCCAGGACAAGGAGGAAGAAACCAATGAAGTTCTCAATGTGAAGAAATCAAGTGAGAGCAAAAGATGGTAATATTACTTAAGAAAGAATACAAAGAAGTTCTTGAAAAATCAAAGACTAAGTCAGAACTCAACTCACCAGCCAAAATTGCAACATAAATGCGTTTAAAAAAAAAAAGAAAAGAAAAAAAAGGACAGAATGTTGGAGCAGTGGCGGCCAGTCCTAGAGTGGCCAGGCACAAGGCAGTGGCAGCCAGGCCCGGAGCAGCAATGGCCAGGCCCCAGAACAACAGCAGCCAGAACCAGAGCATCAACAGCCAGCACTGGAGCAGCCAGACCTGGGGCAGTGGCAACCAGGCCTGAGGCAGAGGCGACCAAGCCCAGGGTGGCCAGTCCAGGAACACCCAGACCCGGAGTGGCCGGGCCCGGAGAAGCCGGGCCCAGAGCAGCCGGGGTGGGAGCAGCCAGACCCAGAACAGCAGTGGCCAAGCCCAGAGCATCCAGGCCGGGAGTGGCCAGGCTCGGAGCGGCCGGGCCCAGGGCAGCCGGGCCCAGAGCAGCCGGGTCAGGTGCGGCCAGGCCCGGAGCAGTGGCTGCCAGGCCGGGAGCGGCCAGGCCCGGGGGAGCAGCCGGGTCGGGTGCGGCCAGGCCCGGAGCAGCGGCTGCCAGGCCGGGAGCGGCCAGGCCCGGGGGAGCAGCCGGGTCGGGTGCGGCCAGGCCCGGAGCAGCGGCTGCCAGGCTGGGAGCGGCCAGGCCCGGGGGAGCAGCCGGGTCGGGAGCGGCCAGGCCTGGAGCAGCGGCTGCCAGGCTGGGAGTAGCCAGGCCCGGAGCAGCAGCAGCCAAGTCCAGAGCAACTAGGTCGGGAGCGGCAGTGACCAGACCCGGAGCTGCTGGTTGTGGAATGAACCAGAGCAACAGAGGCCAGGCCCTGAGCAGCCAGGCCCGGAACAGCTCGCTCCTCGCCTGCCCTTGCCCCACGGCTGCCTCTCAGACATGGCTGGAAACTTTCGTGGGAACTTGAGGGTCTGCTGAATCAAGTGATGAAGGCTTAGATCTGGATGTGTTGAGTTAGTATAGGGCTGGGGTGTTGATCTGTGAGTGCCTTGGGTGGGGCCTGGATGAGGCTAGTTGACCTATTGGGAAATGTCTTTTGTGTGAAGTGTATCATTGGGCATGTGGAGGTATTATTAATATGAGAAAATGCTAAGTAACTGAATTACTATCTGAAAAGGGATTTACTATCGGGGAAAGGGAGGGAAGAAGAGACTGAACATAAACTGTGCACCTATGGATGAGGACAATGGGGGATAGGGAGGGGGTGGAGGGTGGGGTGGGAACCTGGTGGAGGGGGGAAGAAATGAGGAACCTTTGTAATAATATGAACAATAAAGATTGATTAAAAAATAAAAATAAAAAAGACTAAGTAAAAAAAATATATATTTTATTGATTTTTTACAGAGAGGAGGAGAGAGGTATAGAGAGCTAGAAACGTCCATGAGAGAGAGAAACATTGACCAGCTGCCTCTTGCACACCCCCTACCGGGGATGCGCCCACAACCAACGTGCATGCCCTCGATGGGAATCGAACCTGGGACCTCTCAGTCCGCAGACCGATACTCTACCACTGAGCCAAACCGGTTTCGGCGGTGCTGGGATTTTGAATGAGACTGTGTGGGGCCAGGGTACTCTTGACCAATAAGTACACTGGACTGCTTTCTAGGAATGTAGCAAGGGAGGCCAGTATCAATCACAGTGTCACCTAGGGGGGCTGTACCCAATATCACAATTCCCAAAGGGGGGTAACCTTTGAGATCGCAGCCAAGACATGACAGGAAGTCGATCAAGGTCAGAAGAGACAAAGTCCCCAAGCCGATGCTCTATCCATTGAGCCAAACCGGTTTCGGCCTAGTCTAGTTTTTATGGAAATCACAGTTACTAGGAACAAACCTTTCTGACATCGCCAGTCCTGAGAACGAACAGTAGCCTGAGTGGCGTTCATCAGTCTTGGCCTCCTGAGCTGCATCTGGCCCTTTAGCACAGCGTTTTGCATATCTACCCACAATCCAGTGCGGCCCCTGAAGTGGCTTGGGGAGGGATGAAGGAAGAGGGAGGGGCTCTGGGGAGTTGTGTGAATGTGTACAGTGGAGTTCAGTGAAGAGACCTAATCCTGTTGTGTGAAATGTACATTATCCATTCATCCATTTATTGCTGTGCACTATAGCTTCTTCTAAAGCTTTCCTTGCTGTTTTAAGTAATCTATAATAATAAAAGCGTAATATGCTAATTAG